AGATAGATAGATAGATAGATAGATAGATAGATAGATAGATAGATAGACAGACAGACAGACAGACAGACAGACAGACAGACAGACAGACAGACAGATAGGCAGGCAGGCAGGCAGGCAGGCACTGCAGACAGGTAGGTAGGTAGGTAGGTAGGTAGGCAGGCAGGCAGGCAGGCAGATATTTTGATGGATAGATGATAGATGACATAGACAGTTATAGACAGATTAGATAGATAGATGATGGATGATAGATAGATGATAGACAGATAGACAGTTAGATGAGAGATATAAAAGATATAGATGATATAGATAGATGATAGAAACAGACAGATGATACATATAAGATATGATATAGATGATATAGATAAATAGATGATAGATAAACAGGTGATGGATATAAGATAGATGATAAAGATAGATTATAGAAAGACAGATAAACAGACAGATGACAGATATAAGATAGATAGATAATATAGATAGGACGATATAGATAGATAGACAGATGATAATTTAGAAGATATACCCCCACCCACCAATGTGGTTCTTGCTTACCCAACGTGGCCAAGACTCCAAAACCCACAACAGCTAAAACGGCCAGCAGCCACTTCACCCTGGAAAGCCCATTGTCCTCGTCCTCCGGAGCTTCCTTAGCCTGGTCGTGGGTCAGCTCCGCCCCCACCTGCTGGACGTCGACCCGGCCTTTACGTCGGCGCAGCCCCTCGACGTCGGCTTCAGGGGACCCCACCTCTTCCCCGATGCCGGAAGAAACCTTCAGCTCATCTTTGGGGGCACCTGCATGGGGGTGAGGTGGAAAAGAGGCCCAGGCTCACACACCTGGCTGGGAGGCCAGGGGGTCACCTGGGGTGACCGACCAGACCTGCCAGGCAATCGAAGAACGGCGTCATTATCGAATTATTATTTATTTCTTTATTTTTAAAAGTTCCTTTGTTCCTCTGTTCAAGAAGACAGCTTTTCTTCCCAGGCCCTCAATATATACCTTTCCTTCCTTCCTTCCTTCCTTCCCTTTCTTTCTTTCCTTCTTTCTTTCCTTTCTTTTCTTTTCTTCTTTCTTTCCTTTCTTTCCTTTTTCTTTTCTTTCTTTTCTTTCTGTCTTTCTTTTTTCTTTCTTTCCTTCCTTCCTTTTTTCTTCCTTCCTTTCCTTTCTTTCTTTCCTTTCTTCTTCTTTCCTTCTTTATTTTGCTTCCTTCCTTCCCTTTCTTTCCTTTCTTTCTTTTTCTTTCCTTTCTTTCCTTTCTTTTCCCTTTCTTTCTTTCCTTCCTTTCTTCCTTGCTTTCTTTCATTTCTTTTTTCTTTCATTTTCTTTCTTTCCATTCCTTTTTTCTTTCTTTCATCCCTTCTTTCTTTCTTTCTTTCTTTCATTCATTCTTTCCTTCTTTCTTTCTCCTTCCTTCCTTCCTTCCTTCCTTCCTTCCTTCCCTCCCTCCCTCCCTCCCTCCCTCCCTCCCTTCACAGGAAAATCCTTGACCACAACTGGAAACCAAAAGTCGAATTTCTTCTCATTTTACGGCCTCTCTCACGGCGGTGGTCACATGAATCCCTGCAGTGGTTTTACGTTAGCAACACGGCCGTTAAGCGAATCCAGCTTACCCTCCCCCGCCTCCCCCCCCCTTGACTGGCTTGTCGGAAGGTCTCAAAAGGCGGCTGTGTGACTCTACGACCGTCGTAAACGTGAATCAGTGGTCAAAAACATCTGAATTTTGACCGCGTGACTGTGGGGGACGCTGCAATGGTTGTAAGTGTGAAACACACATGCTAAGTCCCTTTTTTTTCAATGCCGTTGTAATGTTGGACGGTCACTAAACAAACTGTTGTAAGTCAAGGACTACCTGTGTTTTTTGTTTTGATAAATGTAAAGTCACCTGTTGGGAGTGATTGTGAGAGCTGGAAGCCTCCTTCCTCGGGCCGCAGGTTGTCCTCTGTCTTCTCTTCATCCAGCAATAAGAGAGTAGATTCTTGGCTGGAAGGATCTGTGGGAATCAGGTCACCTTCTGGTTCCTGGCTCTGGATGGGAAAAAGTTTGGAAGTTTAATCTTGAATGAGAAGTTTATTTTTCTTATATCTTTTTGTCTAGGGCTGTACAGAGCAGCCCTGCAAAATTCCCACATCAGATGGGAAGGAAGGAGGGAAGGAAGGAAGGAAGGAAGGAAGGAAGGAAGGAAGGAAGGAAGGA